CCCCCCCACGCCCTCCTCCCTTTTGCTGCAGGGATACTTGCTTTAATCCAATCACTAGTATCCTGCTTATCCAATTGTTTCCTTGGTGTTCCTCTTCATCTCTTTCCTCCCGCCCTTCATTCCACTACATTTTTGACTGGAGCGTAGAGTAATATCGTTTTATGAGACTGAAATAAATCAGCTTTTGTGTCCTGATGGGACTTTTTATTGGACACTTCTTATGGATGTTCGGATATTAAGAGAGAGTTATGAGAGAGAGAGAGAGGGGGGGTAGAAAGAAAGAGAGAGAGAGAGAGAGAGAGAGAGAGAGAGAGAGAGAGAGAGAGAGAGAGAGAGGGGGGGGGGATGAATTGGCACCTCTGTGTAAGTTTATGTTTCTGAATCCGATTGCTCTTTGTAACCGAGTGACCACCTTTGTGTTGATTTATCTTCCCTAATGTAAAATAATGCACCGGTTTTATTTTGTACATTCATCATCATATTTATCAAGTGCCATGTCTACCGCAAACATCCACGATGATGGTTTTCCATTCATTCCTTTGGTCGGATGCTCTTAAAAATAGATTTTGCCGTGATCTTTCCCCGTTACGTATCTGGTTAGGTTCTCTAAGTAGAATGCTCTTGGTCTACCCCTGCCTCGTTTGCCTTCAATTTTTCCAGTGAGAGCTAGATGTTCAAGACCTTTATGTCTATTCAGGTGTCCCAAAAACTGCTTTTGTCTTTTTCTGATTTCTTTCATCAGTAAGCGTGTCAGGTGGGCTTCATCACTAAAGACAGTGAAAAATAAAATAGAAGGAATAGAAATGTGGTTTCTTTGGAGGCTGCTGAGAATATCGGAAGGAAAAGAAATCTAATGAGGTAGTGCTGATGCGCACTGTCTCCGGCTGAACAGAGCACCGATGTCGTGATGCCTGAAGGAAGTAATTGGCATTCCATAAAACGTTCAGAGCTGTTGGGTAGAATATGCATTCTCCCCAACTTCCTCGGTCTCCCTCAATCCAATTTCAACACCCGGGAGAGTTAACACCCTCCCCATCACATTAACCCTTTCCTTGACCGCATGTTTGAAAGTTTTAGGACCGGCGTATGTGGTCATAACGGTTAGGCACTTTGATATCGTACGCAAGAGACCCGAGTTCGATCCCCAAGTGGAGAGAACTTTTTTTATCGAGTATCTGGGGCCTTTCTGTTGAGATATTGTGTCTCTCTCAGCACTTGCTGACCCTGGCAGTGAGGGTCGAAAGGCGAAATGATCTAAACCGTGTTGGTAGGGGCGTAAAAACACCTACATTTAAGAACAGAGTTTGAGGTATATAATA